TCTGGAAAGAGGCCCCTGGAAGGCCCCCTGAAGGAGGAGCTGGAAAGGGCTCTTGCCAGGGCTGAGAGATTCACCCAGGAGTACAACAGCCTGCTAAAACGATTCGAAGAAGAGATGTTCAATACCTCTAGTGTGCTGGACCTGTTCAACAAGCAATTCGGCTGGGTGTCCTCTCTAGCGAACCACACCAAAAATGAAGATGGCTTCTTTAAAATACAGGCTGTAGGTGTTAATTCAGCACAACGCTAACTGCTTCCACTATGCAGATCTCTCAACTGCCAACATTTTATGTGCAGGTGATGTCAAAAAGCTCTGATAACGCAGAGAACCCAGGAGACACTAAAGTGTCAGTCAAACTGTTTGACGGGCCAGATATGAGCTTCACAGTGCCAGGAGACATTCCTTGGAGCGACCCGAAATTCTCAGAGGTGGTGGCACAGGAGGCTTTGGATCGTTACAAACAGAACACTGTGTGAGTCTTAACTCTTTTCCTTTTTAATTAGCTAAAAATCTTATTAATGTGATTAAAAATGTATTCGTTTTCCTCTCCAGGGTCACAAACTAAACATTCTGGAGGGCCGGCACTTCTGGTGAAGAAAAGATATTCTCTGAGAAAACTGTTGAGAAGATGAGAAGATCCTTATGAATTAGAAATACAATACTGAGAGATGTTGTACTTGTGTAGCTGGATATCTGTTGTATTCCTGCCTTCCTGCCGTTTCATCCTGCTTAACATTCAGAGACCCTACAGAGATTATATAGAATTAGAGCTTATGAATTATAATCAATTGTCAAATACCAATAAAACACAAAATTCCACATTTTTCTCATCTCTTAATGAGCAAGACAATTTCACACTGCAGATTTCCAGACATATTTTGACAAAGGTAAAAGGTCACCTTCTATAACCTTTACTCACTTTCCTCCACTGGTGGAACTTCCAATCTCCATCCAAACAGCAGAAACCTTTAAAACAAGACTGAAGACACATCTCTTCTGAGAGCATGTAGAATAATTCATAGCCTTATATTAAATATTTCTGCACTGTTCTGCATTCACTTCTAATGGTAACAAGCAGGCCCATAACCAGCTATGAGGCCACCGAGGTCCGGACCTCGGTAAATTTGTCATGTTCAAAAATAAAATTTGTTCTTTGAATAACTCATTTGCTGTTAAACTCCTCATATGAATGCCTGAATGACATGTATAATTCAGTTTAGACAGTTTGCAAGAATGTTTAGCGTCCCTGGTATGAAAATGATCGCTGCGATACACTGGCGGAGTGAACGAGGCTTGAGAGAGTTGTGAGTGAGGGCGCGGGCGCAGATCCAGCAATGCACAGAATTGGATCCAGCTATTATAAGTGTTTTTCGACTTATCTTTTCCACTTAATTTAACACTTTAGAAATTTAATAAAGTAGGAATTTGCAGTTTAGAGTCAGCGATATCTTTATCTTAGCAAAAGATTGGAAATAATTTTGGTTTATTTTTTAGTTTGTTTTAGTATCAATATCTGGCAAAACTGCATCGCCGGGACTTAAACTGAAAGCAATCAAAAAAGCCCATGGACAGGTTTTTGCTGACAGGATACGACATTCGGTAAGGGAAACACAAAAATTATCATATTATCTGTCATAAATGTTATCAATGCTGTCAAAAGCAGTAGCATTTAACACTAGTACACACAGATCTGTAGAACAAGTAGGTTACAGAATTAAATGAAATACACAAAAACTAACCATGAAGAGGTATACTATGTCATTCAGTATAGTTAAATTTTCACAAATCATGCTATAAACTTTCATAAGAGCACTAGACAAAGTTATTGTAGTTATGTAGTGTTACAATAAACTGATAAAATTATCCACCCTTAAATATAGTAAAGTATTAACACATTTTGATGCAATAAATAGGGTATGATTTAAAAATAATCATCCCTCCAAAACAGAGAAAACATCTTTCACAAACATCTACATGACTGTTAAAGTGTTTATACAGTAGTGTATATAATGAGTTGTATTTGTAGGGGGTATTATAGCACAATTCTTTAACACCACTTCTGCCTGAATTAGATAAATGAATATGTTAACATAATGAATAATTAATCTCAATGTCTAATTAAAGAAAATATTCAAGCAATATCAGATGAGCAAGACAGCTATTCTTTATTCTAAAATGTTCAGGCTCAAATTAGAGTTTTAATGTGGTTTTAGATTTACCTTACTCAGGGTAGCAATGTATTTCATGTTTGACAGAAATGAAAATGAGGCTGTGAGGGACCGAAGTACAGTGTGTTCAATGGATTGTACTGTCGTTTAACATACGGATTGTTCAGACAACAAAACAGCTTTCTGGAAAAACTTTCAGTAGACAAAAACTGCATAAAACAGTTATGAAAGTTGTGAGCTGTGAAAATTATGTGATCTAGGGCCTTAATACAGTGCATGCCATTGTAAAGACGAAGTATATCCCTAACAGCCTTGTTTTCATCCACGTTAAATTCAATATAGCATCTAACCTGACTATAGTCTTTGCTAAAGTCTTCCGTATCGGGACTGTTCTTTGAGATGTTTACACCTTCTGTAAACACAAGCTGAATAAATAAGCTTTCCATTGATGTATGGTTTGTTAGGATCGGACAATATTTGGCCAAGATACAACTATTTGAAAATCTGGAATCTGAGGGTGCAAAAAAATCTAAATATTGAGAAAATCGCCTTTAAAGTTGTCCAAATAAAGTTCTTAGCAATGCATATTACTAATAAAAAAATACATTTTAATATATTTACAGTAGGAAATTTACAAAATATCTTCATGGAACATGATCTTTACTTAATATACTAATGATTTTTGGCATAAAAGAAAAATCGATAATTTTGACCCATACAATGTATTTTTGGCTATTGCTACAAATATACCCCAGCGACTTAAGACCGGTTTTGTGGTCCAGGGTCACAAATATAATTTTAATCATTATTCTGTATAATTAAGACCAGCAGAATGACTGAGTGTGATATTGCTTTTATACATCAGTTTAACAAGCAGGAAGTTAATAGTAACTTATATTTTAGACACAATATGTGTCTAAATAATATTGTCTTTTTTTTCCTCCACCAATGAAAATTCCACACAAAGTCGAAACGGAATCAACCATTTGGTCTCCAAGCAACACACATATTAGCGGTGTTACAGAATCCGTGTTTTTGAACAAATCAATGATCGAAGTGAAAATTTCAATGAATCGCTCATGAAGACAGCAGTCGCTTGTTTTGTTCTTAAATGAATCCGTGTTTTTGAACAAATCGGCTAAATGAATGAGTTAACGACTCCATGATAAAGACAGATGCTAATGAGTTGCTAAGTAACCTCTAAAGCACAGACTGACGCTCTTTCTGTAACAAGAAAACAAGACAAATGGAGTAAGAGAAACCGTTGGATGCTCTTGGACGCTGCACTATAGGAAAACAGTTGGAGCGCTTGACAAAAAAGGAAATTATTAAAATATTGTGCCATTTTTATTTTGTGTAAAAATCACACAGCTGCTAGTTCATTCTGCAGAGAAACATCCATGCAGTTAAACATTTATGATCCCACAGCCATTGTATAAGCAATTAAATAGAATATTTGCTGTTAGTCAGCAATTAATGCAAATTTACATATGAGATCAAAAGGTGTGTATCATACAATATACAACCTACCCCTGATACAGTAAATCAGCCTGAACAGCAGGGAGAAAAGGCTCGTCTTGATTTAACATGGGGGGGACACATTACTGTGAAAACCTGCACACCAGGAAGTAAGGCTTTAAGGAGGAGTAAAAGAAAAACACAGACGTCAGTCAAAAACGAATGGATGAAAGACATGGTGCAAGTCTATGTAACAATAAAAACGTCACATTAGTTCAGACGTTACAGATACAAATCAAGTGGTTCATCGTTAAGAGCCGTTTTATACGAAATGAGATTGTGAACGACATGCAAAAATAGGTACGAGAAAAGACAAATGAAAACCGAAGGGGAGAAAGTGCAGTCATTGTTTCAGGTCTCAGGTTTACATACTGATGATGTCACAGAATTTATGATGCAGGACTGATGATGTACCATATGAGGTACAGCCGACATCCGAGACAGAGAGGGACATCTGCCATCCCGGGGTGAAAGACAGTACAAGGTTGAACGGGTTGTTTTGTAGTAACACAACAGTGTGTGTTAAGACAAGAGAAGAAAGCAGTTCTTGATGACACGTTTGTAACTGTCGTCCTCAAACTCTCTCACGCACATGAAACAAACACACACAGATGTGCTGTCCACCGATATGGCAAGGAAGAAATATTAAAGGGGCAGTTCATCCAAAAAAACAATTATGTCATTTGCTCAAAACCCGTAAGAGTTTCTTTCTTTCATGTGACACAAAAGGTGAATTTTTGAAGAATATCCTGGCCGCTCGTTTCGATTTAATGAGAGGACTTACAAACAAAAGCCGCATAAAAGCATTAAAGTTCTCTTTGCCATTTTGCTGACAGTGACTGTCTGATTTGTGAACAAAAGATTCATCGGATTAGTTTGAATCTTTTCAACGATTCAGGTTATCCAGGGGGAAAAAAAAGAATGAATTATTCACAAATTTGACTGATCCAGTGCTTAAGTTCGACACAGTTCATTGGAGAAAAAAATCAGTGTCTGTTCCTTGCACACAGCAATCATATGACAAATAATTTAAATATAGCACACTTTTTGGTGTTTCTTTTGTATTTTAGGAGCTTGGAATCCCCAGTCCTTATTTACTGTCATTATTTCGAAAAGATCAGCCAGGAATATTCATCAAAAGAACAAAGTCATATGAGTTTGTAAAGACTTGAGGGTGAATAAATAATGAAAGAATTTTAATTTTTGAGTGAACTGTCTTTTTAACAAGTGCATGTCAGAAAGCGTACTTCTGAAATAGTATGATCTCCCAAAAATCAGTTCTACCCTCTTTACGACCAGTGCATGGCCTAACATGATTGTCTGAGCACACACGGGTGCCTCTAACACGGAAGAACATGACAAGCTGCCTCAGGACTCTGGAGAACAGGAGGGGAAGAGGCTCCTTCATGTTTACCAGAATTACAGCCTCCTGCCAGCCATGACGTCAGGCTCTTGCCTCACATGCTAAACAGAACCTGCAATGTCTGGGGTATTACACACGCAACCACTCAGACTTTCTGTTTCATCAAAGTGCCATAACGGATAATGTTCCTGGACCCCATCCCTCTGAATGGCTGTGTGAGACAGAACAGTCTGGAGGAAGCAGCGATCGTGTCTCTTCTCACACAGTCAGCAGAGGAGTGGAGAAAGGGTGAAATGGACATCCTGCCAGAGGATCCAACAGACCACTAAAAAAAAAAAACAACTGGGGTAATCACTCTTTCATACACACAAACATTCAATCTGAAGCGAACACACACTCTTTTTACAAATGCGAAAATGGTCTAAGCTGTTCCAGTTGCACTTCAAGCGATATTCTTTCTTCTAGCAGGTCCTAAGAAGACAAAATTTGGAAAAAGACTTTTGAACAGCTCGTCTTCTGAAAAAAATGTGGTCACATTCAATGACATCTCACAATACCTTCAACTGCTGCTGTAATTCACTGTTGAGTCTGGCTAAAACCGTATTCGTTTCTTTGTTTCTTCTAATGGAAGCCTGGATGGCCTTCTTATCTTTACCGATAGACCTGTTTTTAAACAGAACAGGAAGAGGAAGCGTACTTTAGGGCAGTGTTTCCCAACCTTTTTTTAGTCACGGCACCCTTTGGAAATTTTAACAAACTTGTGGCACCCTACAAAATTAATTTTGTCACAATATTTGAATTTCTAACTTCGATATGATAATTTGAAAAGTATAGATATTCGGTACAACAGGGAAGAACTGCAGAATATAATGTTATACAGATATTTTTAATATTATTAAAAAATTTGGTCCATCAATGGTGGCAATCAGTAAGCTAATTTCTAATGAAGACTTTCATACACACAAACATTCAATCTGAAGCGAACACACACTCTTTTTACAAATGCGAAAATGGTCTAAGCTGTTCCAGTTGCACTTCAAGCGATATTCTTTCTTCTAGCAGGTCCTAAGAAGACAAAATTTGGAAAAAGACTTTTGAACAGCTCGTCTTCTGAAAAAAATGTGGTCACATTCAATGACATCTCACAATACCTTCAACTGCTGCTGTAATTCACTGTTGAGTCTGGCTAAAACCGTATTCGTTTCTTTGTTTCTTCTAATGGAAGCCTGGATGGCCTTCTTATCTTTACCGATAGACCTGTTTTTAAACAGAACAGGAAGAGGAAGCGTACTTTAGGGCAGTGTTTCCCAACCTTTTTTTAGTCACGGCACCCTTTGGAAATTTTAACAAACTTGTGGCACCCTACAAAATTAATTTTGTCACAATATTTGAATTTCTAACTTCGATATGATAATTTGAAAAGTATAGATATTCGGTACAACAGAACTGCAGAATATAATGTTATACAGATATTTTTAATATTATTAAAAAATTTGGTCCATCAATGGTGGCAATCAGTAAGCTAATTTCTAATGAAGAGACCAATTTATATGACAGATTTTAATGTAGGCTTACTTATTTAATTACCATTATAACTATCTCATACATTTTTGCTCACTCAGTGTTTTTTTTTATTTTACAGTGTGGTAATTTTGGTGCAGTAGCACGAGATAGCTTGATTTCAAACTTTGAATTTAATAAAAAATGACAAGTAAGCAGTCAGTAATAAAATAAGAACAAATAAAGAAATTAATAATGATAGCACAAATAAAAAATAATGACAGGCCTTTGAATTAAATAAATTGCTTTTTCGTTTTTCAGGTAGGTCTAACAGTAGGGTTAAGATATTTAAAAAAAAATTAGTCCTAGAAAGCTATTATTATCACGCGAGCATAACATAGCGGTTAGCAGATCAATGAATGAGAGGGCAGCGTTACCAGAGTTGCCCATATACCACACCATGTTACAACACAGTAGGGCTATTGCAGACAGAAACAATAGTGTACTACATCGATGTTTCCTGTTGGCTCGATTTTTGAGTGGACTTTGCTGTTCTGTTACAACACAGTAGGGCTATTGCAGACAGAAACAATACTGTACTACATCGATGTTTCCTGTTGGCTCGATTTTTGAGTGGACTTTGCTGTTCCGATTGGAATGAACACGATAGGAGCGAATCAGCGCGGCACCCCGGTTGGGAAACACTGCTTTAGGGTACAAGGAAACATTATGAACATCGCTGGGCAAACCTGTCAACAAAAACTCCAGTACTTATATGGGGGGGAAAATATATTATATTGCATACATATACTGCATTTTATTTATGTTCATATATAAATATGAATTCATATTTATCATTTTGAATACAACAAAAAAATATAATTGTATCCCGACAATTATGATTTTTTTATTGCTCAATTGTGAAAATAATGCCACAATCAATAGAAAAATACCTTAATACAATAATATTCCCTTTTTTCTCCTGGTGGAGTGACTGTCGAGCGTACCGTGGAATTGAGGGCTGGGTTGCTAGAACAGTGGCTATGATGTTAGACTTTTGCGGAAGGTCCTCCACATCTGGTCTGAGCTCATCGTCTGATTTCAGTCTTCGACGAACAGGTTTAGGGGGTGGGGCCAATGGAGTGGATACTTTGGCCTATCAAAACATACATTGAGCGATTATAATGCTGAAGTAACATGCAATATGAAGACTGATTGGTAGAGAATGGCTTACAGAGTTGACAGTGGTTGCATTTCGTTCCTCTGCCTGAACGTCATTCTTTGCTGTTCTCATCGTCCCAGTGGATTCTGCACATCTTTCTGCCTAATATATATATATATATATATATATATATATAAAAACCAGTTCAACATTTTAGGGTCAGTGACCGTTTAAAAAAAATAATATTTTTTTTTTATAAATAAATAAATGAATATTTTACCCAGCAAAAGTGACAGCAAAAACCTTTATACTTTATTTTATAATTTCCACAAAAATATTAAGCAACACAACTGTTCTGTTTTTATTACTGATAATAATAATAAATGCTTCTTGAGCACCAAATCAGCATATTAGAATGATTTCTGAAGGATCATGTGACACTGAAGATTGGAGTAATGGCTGCTGAAAATTCAGCATTTCCATCACAGGAAAAAATGACATTTTACGATATATTAAAATAGAAAATCATTATTTTAAATTGTAATAATATTTCATAATATTACTGTATTTTCGATCAAATAAATGCAGCCTTGGTGAGCATTAGAGACTTCTTTAAAAACATTTAAAAAAAACAATCTCAAACTTTTGAAAGGTAGTGCATATATAGACAGAAATTTAACATTTACTTGTGTAATACGTATTCATGTTTTTTTTTTGTTTTTTTTTTAAACAATCCATCTGTGCATTTTTTTTTTTGCACCACAAATAAAGTTTTTTCTTCATAATCTGTCATCATTATAATAAATGGCTCCATTTGTACCTGTCCACTGTCAGATGGTTTCTCTCCATCATCTGCCGGCTGGTCGACAGCAAAAGCCTGGAACTGGCTGAAGTCAGCAAAGTTGGGTTGTTCTGGCATCTGATGGGGTGACGTGCTGGTATGTGCTGAAAGACCATCTCCCTCTACCGAACGGTGACCATGTGGCACTGATGTCTGGGGATTTGAACATTACATATTGAATTACTCTTCTATAAAAAGTGTAATAGTTATCTAATTATCTGAAAGCAATTTATACAGAATTGCTAACCACTGGGCTATACCTGTGTGGGCAGTGGTCTGGGAGGCACTGCTGGGGGAAAGGCAACTACACCTGGCTGTTGCGGACCTGATGGAGAAGTAACTAATTACAAAAGAGAAATTCAGCTTTTCCTAACCACACCCCAACAAAACAAGAAGCTATGAGTTACCTGATAACTGGTTGTGTGTGTGCATACCTGCAGGGACAGCAGCAAAGTTTCTGTTCATGTCTAGAGAGGAGGACCGTGAGTGAGAGGCGTTGGGGCGGGGCGGAGGTGGGGGCGGAGCCACAACCTTCAGTCCTTCCGGGGAGGTGCCGGAGTGAGACCTGTAATAGCATGAGTTGTAAATCTTTTTTGGCTGGAAACGTCACATTATGTTCTAACCAAACATGATATGACGAAAATCGCATCTAAAGCACTAAATAATTTCCGAATCTTATACATGTTAATCTGAGCTTTTCTTCTAGCTATAATAACACAAACAGAAAGAAGAACAAAGATTAAAGTGAGTCTGAATTTGGTGCCACTGCAAGTGAGACCTGTAATAGCATGAGTTGTAAATCTTTTTTGGCTGGAAACATCACATTATGTTCTAACCAAACATGATATGATGAAAATCGCATCTAAAGCACTAAATAATTTCCGAATCTTATCCATGTTAATCTGATCTTTTCTTCTAGCTATAACAACACAAACAGAAAGAAGAACAAAGATTAAAGTGAGTCTGAATTTGGTGCCACTGCAAGATGTTAAGTACCTTTGTCTGTTCACAGCACTGGAAATGGGCTCTTGATCAGATGTAAATGAATCTGAGCTGCTATAGCCATCTCCTGTAAAAAGGAAGGGCAATGGCTCTCAATGAATTACGGGAAAAGATTTCCTGCCAGTTAATTAAATGGTTGAATAGTCCAGATGTACTTACCAACAGTGGTACCAGGAAATGTAATAGTTGCTGCTAACTTGGTCTCATCAGAAAGTTCTGGTGGTTTCGCCATTAACGGACTTGTTGGATGTGTGTGATCTGTAAAACAAGAGTAATCCAATTTGTTTCTAATCAAATTATTACATATGTCCATACAGTAACTATACTACTAGTTAAAAAGTCTGGAATCAGTAATTATAATTATATAAATTATAATTACATTTTAAAATATTATAAAATAGAAAATTATTCTTTTAAATTCAGCCTAAGCATTAGAGGCTTCTTTCAAAACCACTGAATAGAAATCTGACATACCCTAAACTTTAGAACAGTAGTGTACGCCAATGTTAGATTATTGTGGAAGAAAGAGTCCTATAGCAGATTTCTAACTGAAAATTACAAGTTCTATTAAACAACTAGTTGTTTTACATTTTCTGAAGAAAATATTGGTGGTGCTTGCCCATGCAAAAGTCATGATTCTAAAGTGCTGTAGATGGTTGCTAAAGTGTTTTGGGTGGTTGCTTCCTTGTTCAGGTCAAAAGCTCAAACCTAAGCCTCTGTGACATGCAAAATATGGCTTTTGGTCCTTTCTTCAATGCAAGTCAATGAGATTTTTAGGGTGAAAAATAATATAAAAAAAATTCTAAACCCCCAACCCCAAGTATGAGCAAAAGCAATAGTGATTAAGAAGGACAATACACCAAAAATAACGAGAAAGTAAAGACAAGTGGATGAATTTTGAGAACAAAACTTTAAAATGTTACAGCTTAAAATTCAGTCAAAAATTGAATATGCAGTGTAAAAGCACATAAACAGACGCACCACTTCCAGTTCTTTTGAGCTCCATCTCTTGCATGTGGATCTTGCTGGGTGTCATACGAATGGGCACAGGGTGGACTATTGCTGTATCCTACAATGAAACAAGCACATCAACTGTTGCTGTCGCATAACTACAACTGTGTTTCACTGAACTTAATGAAGATTTATCATCAGTTATAAAGAAGAACAAGGAATAGTTAAGACCTGGCACTGAGTAACTATAAACAAACATTGTATCACAACACC